GGGGCCAGAGAGGGAGCATGACTTTATGGTCTAGTGGTAAGGGAAGAGAGGAGACCTAAGTTCCAGCCCCTTTCATCTCCCAGATGAACACTGCCCTAACAACTAGACAATACAGTAAGGCTCTGTTTGGCCCAGTACAAATTTGAGCATACTCTACAAAAAGGAACAGCTTCAGCAAAAGAAACGGAGCATGCCCTGGCCCAGGGAAGCCTAGTGGGAAGAGCATTTAGCTGAAGTGAGAAAAACAGGTTCAAATCCCTCCCTGCAGAAGAGGGAATTAAACTAGGCCCCCTGCACCCAGGTGAATGCTTTCGTCACTGAGCAGTGGAATAGAAAGGCTATGGTTCTTCTTCCTCCTCTGCTTTGTATGAAAGAAAACCCCTTCCTCTATGCCATGTAGAGGTGAGGCTAAAAACATACACTTCTCCTTAGAGGCAGCTCTCCACTTGGTATGCTTTCTTCTGTGGATCCTTATCTTAGACACCTACTTCCCCTGGGTTACTGTATAGGAGTCTGAGCATCAGCAAAGTACCTAAAATCAGTCGGGGCATCTTTTCACATGGTCCAAGGAGGGGATGGGGGGGCACTTTAATTATAGCAGCTCCCAAGAGCCGCTGTAATTAAAGCACCCACAGCATCTTGTATATTCAGGGTGCTTTAAAGCTTGTTCAGCAAGCTTTAGCTAAAGTGCCCCTGCTGCTATTTTGAAGCACTGAGGCACTAAGTATATGAGATGCTGAGGTGACAGAGTACACTAATTAGCACATGTTGGAGCGGGCATTGGGCATGTGTATAGGTGTCCTGTGTGCCCCAAGACCTGCCCCAAGACCAGGCTGTATTGCACACAGATGTTACACTGCAATTTTGTTTTGTACCTTTTGTACGCAGGAGCTGTCAATGCTTTAGACTCCCCTGTTACTGAACAAGATGTCTCAGCGTATGAGAGAGCATCTCCTGCTCTTTCCCCAGAAATGTCTCCCAACAAGGTCCCACCAGACTCAGAAAGCCCATAGGAGATCTATGCCAGACACAGATTGAATAAAGAGGTTATCTAACATTGTGGAGGTTCAGGTAGTATTTTTTTGTCAGCTATTGGAGCCATTAATTGTAGATTGAATCTTGTGGAGTTGAGCAAAGCCTAACAGAAAACAGAAATCGGGAAAATCTAAGCAAGGGGACATGGGTTTTTTTAGACACGGACCTTACAAAAGAAGAGGTATCCCTTCCTGTTGGGTTTTTCCCACCTAGCCACCATTTTCTGTATAACCAAAGACAAGCTTCATATGGCATGGGTATGACCTTCCCTTTCAGCTTCAGTAGGCATGAGCTCAAATCCTGATGTGTGTAGAATGAAGATTACTGTACTGCTAAATTGAATGGCAAACTAACCCTTGCACGATTTTGCAAACCAATTTGCTTGCAGATCTCCAGCATTTGTATCTCAGGTTGAAGCCCACATGATAACAGGTTTCTTTCCTTCCTTCATGATACATATGTGTGTGAAGAATTCTTTAGACTGATTTCATGGTCTGGTTTGCAGCAGACACCAACTAGTGCCTTATCTTGTGCAGGATCTGTTAGGATACTGACTCAAGCATTCAAGATCATCTGATCCTAAATTGTCAATGACCTGGATTTTTTAGGTATAGTGTCAGAAACCCCCTTCCCTCCATTCCATCCTTCTGAAATAAGATCCAACCAGTGTTTTAACATTCCGGTCATGTGAAACTTTGCATACAGCTCCAGCAAAAACGTTGAGGTGGAATTTAAACCCCCTAATGAGAACTTCTAGTTCCTCTCATTTATGTCCCTAATGAGTAACTCTAGTTCCTCTCATTTTTTACTTTGTCTCTTGCTGCCTCGGTTAATTAGTTCTCAGTGTTTTGGTTTTGAGCTACAAGGATGCTCACTCATTCTCCCTTGTCGTTTGGCTGCAATTAATTCCGAGATCACTCTGCAAGCAGGGCTGGGCTGGGTAGTCTGAGGCTCAGTGTAACCTGAAAGCACCCTTGCTGAAAAACCTGAGTCTCGTGTGCTCAACTCTCTTCTTTGGCCTAGTGACCAAGAGAACTTGAGCAGATCTCCCCCTTCCCCACAGGGCCTTTCAGGGCTGAGGCAGTTTTACAAACAATATAACAAGAAAAATTGTCCATTGCAGAAATGTTGCGTTTCCCTTTTTAATCAGAGGTCTGCAGCCAGGTTGCTGAACTGACTTTACAGAAGAACCTTCAGCTCCTAGGCGTGAATCCCAGGTGCTCCCATGGTCCCCTGGAGAAAGACATGGGTTACAACATCTCCAAGGCTTGCTACCTGAGACTCCAACTGGATAACCCAAGAATCCTCAGCAACTCTGCTTGAACGGTCTGTCAGTTTCCCTGCCATAGCTGATATTGGCTGGGCAGGCTCATGTTGGAGACTTCCTGGACACTGACACCTTGTGGGAGTCACTTGGCTCTGAAGAAAAAGATGTATTGTGCTCGGAGATGGAAACTTGGAACCTCAAACCAAGGGTGGTGGGATGCTGCCCTCCCCTCACAGATTCATAGATTCGTAGATTGGAAGGGACCTTGCAAGATCATGGGGTCCAGCCCCCCTGAACTAGGCAGGAAAGACAACTGGGCTCAGGTGACCTGAGCAAGGTGACCGTCTAGTCTCCCCTTGAAGATTTCCAGGATAGGTGATTGCACCACCTCTGGAGGGAGTTTGGACACAGTCTGGACACCCTAACTATGAAGACATTTTTCCTAGTGTTACGCCTGAAATGGTCTTCCAGGAGTTTGTGGACATTACTCCTGGTTTCCCCAAGGATGCCCTGGTGAACAGTTGTTTGCTGAGCCCTTGATATATTCCCCTGATGTAGTGGTAAGCTGCTACCAAGTCCCCTCTCAGCTTTCTTTTTTTTAGGCTGAAGAGACCCAAGTCTTCAGCCTTGCAAGTCTCTGATCATATGGGTGGCTCTTCTCTGGACTCTCTCAAGCTTTTCCAAGTCCTTGTTGAAGTGCGGTGCCCAGAACTGGACACAGTACTCCAGCTGCTCTCTCATCAATGCTGAGTCAAGAATTACTTCCTTGGTTTTACTTGAGATGCATCAGTTGATGCATGCTAGAGCCTTGTTTGCCCTGCTGGCTACAGCACACTGATGGCTCATGTTCATACTGTAGTAAAAATGTCTCTTAATCTCACTACATAAAGGGCCTCACAGCTGAGAACTGTAATCTCACTACACAAAAGGCTTCACAGCTGAGAACAGTCTTTTCCTCTCTCCCCCACCACTGCGGGGCCAGAAGCGGGGGGGTCCTGTTAGGGGGAGAGAACAGTCCGAACAATGCTTGGTTCACGATAAGGCTGATTCCTGTGGGAACACAGATTAGTTACTGCTTGCTTTGCACATAAACTTTGCAACCCTTGTTACTTGCCCGTTTTAGAACTACGCATGTACTAAAAACTTTGCAGAAAACTGTAGCCAATCACAGATTGCCACAATGGAATCTTGTTCATGAGAGGTATAAAAATATAACTTTGGGCGTGGCTAGGGGTCGACACACCTTTGGGTATTGAACTCCCTTGTCGAACTTGTTTGCAAACAATAAACTGAGATGGATCCAACCTGAGTGTGACTCTCTCCTTGAGGTGTATTGGAAAAGCTTCCAGGGGCACGAAACTAGCTGTTTGTGCAACAATACTATGGTTTATTACCCCAGGTCCCTTTCAGTCGGGGTGATAATCAGTTTGTTGCAACTGAGCCTGTAAGTATGTTGGGGGTTGTTTGTCCCCAGATGGAGAACTTTACACTTCTCAGTGTTGAACTTCACCTAGTTCTGATGTGCCCAACTTACCAGCCTATCTAGCTCCACCTGTATCTGCAGCCTATTTTCAAGCATGAACATGCTCCCCTATAACTTGGTGTTGTCCATGAACTTGGCCAGTGAGCTCTTCTTTCCCACATCCAAATCATTAATAAAGATGTTGAAAAGCACTTCCCCACTGCCTCTGTGGTCACCATTTCTGCTAAAATGGCTGCCTTTCCCATCCTCCCATTTTTTAGAACAGCTGTTTTCTCTTGGTCAGGTCACACACTAGGTTTCAGGTCTCCAGGAACCAGGGACCTTGTGGGCTCAGCAGCTGCCAGGAAAGGGAAGTTTGCAGTTAACTCTGAAGTCCCTTGAAATGGGGATCGTTACTGTACATAGCACAGACTTGCTCTCCCTCAAGCATGGAAGGAGCAGGAGAGGCCCAGCACAATCCTTTTTAGCAGTGATTCAGTGTCTCCTCTGGCTTGATTCCCCTCCTATTTGCAAACAGGTTTGACCCTGGTGGAAAATACTTCTGCTTCAACCAAGTTATGCCTGCCTTACACTCCAGTGAGAGCAGTACTCCTTGTCCTTGGGGCTTTTCTGGCTCCATGCCCTGCTCTGGACTGGAAATGCTGCTCATGTTGCATCACAGGCTGGGAAATGGCTCAAAATATTAATGCTTCATAGAGCAAACCACTCTTCCTGGGCCTGGCTGCAGGCCTGTTCTGGCTTCCTGGGAGCACCCTGTTCCCGGGGCCTTCACTGCTCAGGGACGTCTGGTTGCATCCAGGTGCACAGGACATTGTAGTTGACTGTGATGGTCCACAGGAGTCAATGCAGCCCCTGCTGGGTGGCCCAGTACTGGCTTTTATGGAGATTTTTGGTCATTGAACATGGCTGCTGTGGGACAGAGAGAGAGAAAAGTCTGGGTCAGTGTCTTCAGCTGCAGCACAATGGCAAGGCAGTGAGGAAGGTGCCTACACACAGCTGCTGGATACTGAGTATCTCCTCACCCCCAGGCTACATCAACACTTGTAGTATGAAGACATTACACAAAAAGAATCTGACAACTCCCAGTCAAGCTCTCATTACCTCACGCCTCACTGACTGCAACCTTTTCCTCTCTGGCCTTAACAAGTACCAACTCCCATGCAGATGCTGCTGCAGAGATCTGTTCCTGGCTCACTGTACTGATTGCTCACTCCTCCACTGGCTCCCCCCTCCTCCATCATGCTACATAAAACCTGCTTGTCTCCTCTTTCAAGCTGCTTCCTGGCCTGTCCCCTCCCCTCCCTCCCTGCTCTCAGCTCCCATTTGCTATCATGGATGTCAACTCTGGATGATAACAGCCTCCATAACCCACTTTTTCAGCTTTTGAACACCTGCCTGTTTTCTTCCATGCTGCCTATGCCAGGGATAGTGACCAGCCTGGGCCCAGTGCTACTAGGGACTCTGAACAGCCTGAATCAAATACCACAGCAGCTGTACCTGCAGCAAACCTCAGCTAATGAACTCCGCCCCAGTTTAGGATCAGCAAGCATCCTGACCAGCTACTGGGAACACCACCTATCCATTTGGCACCAGCTGGGGCCCTGAGTCTACAGGACAGTCACCAGTTTTGCTGTGACAAACCTCTTGGCTCTCTGGTTTTTGGTTTATTTCTGGATTTTGACTTTGGGTTTCTCTGAGGTTCTGTTTCCTGGCTCCTAACCCAGGTTTAGCTCTGGTTTTAGGCTTTCCCTGTGGATTGTCACCCAGATCCTGACTCTGGACTGTCATGGACCCTGCTTCAGGTATGTGGCTTCTGCCCTTTGACCCAGCCCCAGGCCCTGCTTTCCCTCAGTGGTCTAATGCCTCAGTCCCTTACACTCTGCTGATTGTGAGGTGTTCCCTGGAAACATTTGCAAAACTGTCTCCCTGCTATCCCTCAAAACTCTCACAAGCCATGAAGCCTACCAAAAACATGGCAACAGGTAAGGTGCTGGTGTGCTGACTCCACTGCCTATCAAGTTGATCAGTACTGTCCCTTGGGTCCCTCTGTTTGTCTTTTCTCTTAGACTGTGAACTCTCTAAAGAGAGAGACCATCTTTTTGTTCTGTGTGTGGAGCACACAGCAGTAACGGGGACGAGTTACTGACTAGGGCTGTTAGGAATTACTGTAATAATCCAGTCTTGAGCAGGTCTAGTAGAGGGCAACAGTGACAAACACACACACACATCCATCCAATGCAGTCCACATTTCAGCTGCATGCCAGCCTGTTTTGCAGGGATTTTCTTGGACAAAATGGGATTTTTTGCTCGCTTTTATTGGGCCAAATATTTCAAAGCAATTCCCTATCATATGCAGGTGATGAGATGCTAGAGACTGAGAGACCAAGTATTATTACTATTTCCTGTCAAACAGCATGAGAAGGTCCCCTCATGAGGAGGGGGTTGCAAAAAACATTAAGTTACCCAAGATTCACTGCATCTGCATTTTCCACATTCATACCCCTGCACTGTCTTGGGGTCTCCCAGATATGGGCTCTCTGCAAGTTCTGATGCAATGGAAGCAGCTACTTTATGCTGGGCAGGCCCATCTCATACTTACAATGCAACACAGAGACTTGTTTTCATTCACAGGCTTCTCCAGAGACAGGCAACGCAATCAACTCACATGGGAGGGGGCATCTATCTTGTCTTGTTTGCCAGCCTGGGATCAAAAATACAGAAATAAGAAGGAGAGAAAAGAATGGCTCTCAGGTCAATTCAAATTTCAGGGGTGGATAGAGGGGCTTGGCTCAAGGCCCCACCGAGAGACCTAGGAAAATTAACCTTTACTGGGGGTCCTGAAAGAACCCACTTGCATGCATTTTGGATACAATGCTGAATATAAAAGTGTATTAAATGGGAAAGAAAACAACGAATCTTATCTTACACAACTCTAACACAACAACTATAAAACACCCAAATTATTAAACCCCATATATGCTCAGGATTGCTCCCACTCAGAATAGCCACTGCTCTAGCACTCAGGGGTCACTGTGGCCACTTTGGAGTGTGCCACTCAGGCCTGTGCCAGTTACTGCCTCCTGGGATCACCACCTGCAGTAAGCAGTGCTAGGATCACTGACAGCAGCCAGGTTGCACGTTAATTCAGCACTATTAATTCATCCTGCTGCTCCTAAAAGACCCGCTTCCCCTCAAACCCCTCTGAAGAGGGTTTAGACGCCAGGTCTGCTTCCTGGGCAAGGACCCTAACCATTCGGATACCAGAGCTAAATTGTGGAAGGGGCCTGCTCCTTCAGCATCTCATACCTACTAGTCACAGGGTTTTCTTCAGCTACAGTTGTGAGACTTACACACATATGCTGGACGTGCAAATGTACTCTTGTGCTTACCTGGTCAATGTGTAGTCTACTGTGCATGCCCTGTGTCTGCATGCAGGGTTACACAGCTGCACTTCACAGGTAACAGAACTGCAAACTGTCATTGCCAAAAATACCACCCATGCAATGGGGAAACTGCCAAGACTAATAGAAGCCCACCATTTGTGTACAAAATAAAAGTTTGGGTGCATTAGAAGCAATTAACTGAGATTGTCAAGGGTGACAGGATGCATGTTCTGAAGTTCGCCTCTGTTCCCATGCATTTAAAAAGAGCAGAGATGCAATCAATATTCCAACACAAATTGAAAGAGACTCTCACCTTTCACCCACACTCTGCTGGAACTCAAAGGGATATTTATTCCTTTACATAACTTGGAGTTGTCTTTCTCTCACACTTTGCTTGATTTCCCATTCCCTCCCAATCAAAGCACCCATCCTGGCTCACAGTACTCTTTCCTACATTATCCCTGCTAAATAGGCACATGGCCACTCTGCCCCTTTCTTCACCTCCCTCCAAGTCTTTGATGGCTCTTACCTCCCTCCAGTCTCTCTACCATTTTGCTTACCTTCTATTCCCTTCTAAACCGGTGCCTGTCCAGTCCCTACAGAGCATAGCTGTAAAGCAATGCATACAGGGGTTTTTTTTTAATTCTAGCATGTTGTCCGCTGGAAAAGGTTCAGGAAGGTTCTAGCAAACAGATCTTGAATGAGAGACAAAGAACACTTTCAGGAATAAAACTTCACTATTTTGAGGAAGTTACTTTTTGACACTACAATTAATCCATTGTTACTAGTGTAGCAGGCTCACATTTTAGAGCTTGGGTAGAGTTCCAGGCTTGAGATCCTGCTGTTTTCATTGGTGGAGCCCATCCACCAATCAGGAGGCAGCAGGAGAAATAAAGTCACGCCCTTTTCCTGAGGGGAGGGGGAGAAGAGCTCCCCGGGACCTGACTGAAGACTGTAAGCCAGGGGTGGGCCATTATTTTGGGTGGAGGGCCACTTACTGAGTTTTGGCAAGCCGTCGAGGGCCGCATGACAGGCAGCGTGGGCAGATAAATATTAATTTTGTAAATTTTTTAGGGGCCCGTGGGCTGGATAGAATGGCCTGGCAGGCCGCATCTGGCCCGCGAGCCACATTTTGCCCGCCCCCGCTGTAAGCTGTCAGGTCCAGAAGACTTCAGGAGTGGAGCCCTGGAGCATATAAAAGGAGCTGCGTGCCCAGCACAAGGGGAGATGCAGCAAGGAACTCAAGAAGAGTGGAGCCAAAAAAAGCTGGGGCACTCTCCCCCAGTGGCCAATAGGCCCAAGGCTCCTGAAGCTGCCACTGGAGGAGCAGCCTTGGGAGCGGTGCAAGACCACTCAGGCTGTTGACAACACACAGGGACGGGGCGCAGAGACCCAGCCCTGGGAGTGGTGTGAGACTGCTCGAGCCCATCACGGCACACAGTTCGATGCATGGAGCCCAGGCTTTGGGAGCCACGAGTGGCAGCTTGAGCCTGCAACCCCGGCAGGGCCTTGGGGGCCGCAGTGAGGCAGCTCAGGCCCCATCTCCCAGAAAACGGCCAGGTCCTATGGTGCACAGGGTAGCACACGGGCCCAAGCCTTGGGAGCCAGGGAGCTGCAGAGACTGCTTGGGTTAGCCACCCGACATGAGGACGGCTGGCCAGAGCCTGAAGGGCCCAGCCTGTGCTAAGAGATCCCTCGGTGCTGAGCCAGGGCACAGGGAAATAGTAGTGCTGCAACATGAGGCTCAGCACCCAGGAGCCAGCAGCAGTGGTGCAGCAGCTGAGAGGAGATGAGCCCTCAGTGCCCAGAGCAGGGCACAGGGTGGAGAGGAGCCCAGCGGTGCGGGAGAGGCCTGGAGAGGCACTCCAGCAGAGGAGACCCCATTGAGCTGCGCCCTGACCACCACCAGCAGAGGGAGTGTGAGTCATTGGGCCCTTGGGTCCCACAGAGGAAAGATATTTGGGGCGGGCAAACCCAGAGAAGAGGCTGGGTGAGCAGCCCCCCACTAGTCAAGGCCCTAAGGGGAGGGCCCCTGGTGCTTCCTGGACACCCATTGGAAGGACTATCTCTTGCCATGGGTCAGGGACTATATTAAGAAATAAATGTTATTAAGATTGTTCATGTTTGTGCCTTACAGTGTAATTGAAATGTTGCATTGCGATTTAGGTTAGTGTTCTCTGTGTGCAATTTAGGATTTAGTGTTCTCTATGTAAATATATATATATGATATTTAGTTTTATGTTAATATATATTATAACTTAATAAATTGTATATAGTTAAGAACTTTGGGCTTGGGTTAACTCTATAGAGGAAAGAGGGATCTGCTTGAAATTCTGGCATCCTTCTCACAGCACCCCTTCCTGCCTACCCATACCATTCAATTGAGAATAGGGCACACCCTTGGGTGTAGCCAGGTTACACTAGGATTCTTTATCTTTGTTATATGACATAGGCAGGTGTTGACCCTTTTTTTAAAGCAGTACACAGAAAAGGAAGTGTCACAACAGCCCTATGCTTAGAGTTAGAGAAGCTCACAGAATGACCTTTGGAGAAGTAATTCATATGATTTTGTACTGTCACAACCCAGGGATTTTTTGTGCCTCGGCACTATGGAATTTCCTGGCCACATGAGAGCTCCTTTGCACGGCAGAGTGTTCTGCTGCAATTGAGAACCCGCGTGTAGGAGAGAGTTCCCGCCAATTTGAAGTTTCCTTTGCAGGATGCATTTCTTCTTTGCAGCACAGAAATGCACAGTGCAAAGAGTTCCCGCTATTCGAATGTAAATTTGTGCCCCGCTATTGGCTAAATTATTCACACATGGCGGCTAGTAATTGGCTCGCTGGCCGTTTAAAATTCCGCGCGACTTCCGCCCCAGTCGAAGAGCTTTGAGCACGCTGCAGAGTGCCTCTGAAGTTATCTGACTTGCGGCTGCCGATCGATAGACTGATCCCCTATCGATCTTTCTTCCCATCGCCGAGCGCAACCCCAGACGTACCCCTTTCCCCGCCGGCTTCGAATTGCGGACGGATTAACTGGCTTGGGCCCCGCCAGCTGGAACAACTCGCGTGGTTGTTCAGACAACCGGACCACCTGCGTCGTGATTGCAAGCGGCATGAGTAAAGTTTTTTGCAACCAATAAGTTGTGTCTGCCTCTCCATTCACCAGCCTGCCCTAACGTACGACCAATTTCTAACGCAACTCGAGTCGGCTGTGGCCGTCCGAGACATGTACCACAACAAAGCTTGATTGTTTGTTCACCTTAATTTGAAGGCCTTTCTGTGAGGAAAAGTGTTCCACCTTGCCTGAACATCTGCAAAGGGGAAACAAGCAAACTCTTCTCCCCATGTATGAGAGAGAGAGAGAGAGAGCCACAGGGGGCAAAGGTGCACTGGCCAAAGATAGAAGCAGCTGCCCAAGCCCCAAAGCCCCAGGCAGAAATACTCTTTACCCAGGTGTTTCTGGAGGGGAGGGGCCGGGAATTCAAACCTCACTATAAAGAGGAGCCCGGAGCAGGCAGGAAGGGAGAGCGCAGGACCGGAAGGAGAGGAACCGGGCCAAGCAACACTGTGGGAAAACTTGAGAGCAACCTGGAGAGCTGGCAGGAGGCTCCTGCAGAGAGGGAGTTCCCCACAGAAGACTTAGAGGAAGGATTAGTGGAGTGGCAGTACCAGGAATTGCTTGCACAGCCGGCAGAGCTGGCTGGGGAAAGTACTGTAAAGACCCTAGTAGAGGGGCACTCCAGAAGAAAGGTACCGTAAAGACCCTAAAAGGGGTGCAAGAAAAATTATCAATGGTGGACTCAGTGTGGGTGAGGGGACTGTAATGACCCCAACAAGAGGCTCGTGAAGAGCTGCCATAAAGACGGGAACAGGTGAAGAAGAAAGTAACCCCACCGCGTATATATATATATATATATATTTTGTTTGTTTGTTGCCAAAAGATGGGTGAACAACAATCCAGGACAGGAGTGCTTGGTTTCTTTTTTTTGACAGAGGCCCCGGGAGAGAACCCGACGGCCGAACAGTGACAAAAGGACGATTCGATACCCAGTGGAACGGGCGAGGGTGTAGGGGATGGTGGAGCCCTCAGGAACATAGGACAGTGGGTGACAACCAACTAGAACTACACGCCCAGGTACTGAATCTACTCCCATAAAACACCAAGTCGTGGCAGGCGAGGACGTGGGTGCGTGGACCTCCGGTTGGGACTCATCCCTAACATCAGCTGGTGGGCTGAGGTCCTATGGAGATATAAAAAGGAAAAAAAAAATATATGTATGTACATATACATACACACTTCTCTATAGAAAGAGAAAGCAATTGGCCGGTCAGAGAAAAAAAAGGAAATAACCACTTCTACCCTGAAACCGAGAGCGGCTGGAAGAGCAAAGACTCTTGGGGTGGGCTACTTAACTAGATACGTGACACCATGCAAGAGAAAAACGCTCTCAGGGTCTCTTCAGAGAGTTACATTGTACTTAAATTACTCATTTTGTTGAAATCAGATGGTATTTACAGAGGCCAGCTTCGTTCCTTTACCGTAGGCTTGTCCAACATACGGCCTGCGAGCTGCCATGCAGCCCACCAAGGCATTTTCTGTGGCCCGCAGTGATACAACGGGAAACGAAAGTAAACACGGTTTACTTTCGTTCCCACCCCTTGTCCCTCTGCCAGCCCCTCAGCTTTGATCCAAATCAGCTTGTTAATGGTCTACAGCAGCTGTTTCATGTGTCTAAATCTATCTTGTGGTCAGTGGAAACTAAGCCACAGTAACTTAGCTGCATTTCATTTTGCATGTATAAAAACCATGTAAAGCCTTGGGCTTTGTTCCATTGCAGTATGGAACCTCAAAATAAGCCATGAAATGGAATTGCCAACCTGCAGTCAGTCCCGATTCTGGGGACCTAGACAGCTCATAGGCTGCATGCTAGTGAGGAAACATTTAATTCCTCCATCCCTGAACCTGCCACCGGTGACTATTGCTTTATTTCAGTCTCAGACACTGAGATCTGGTTCTCTCCAGATCTAAAAAATATGCTGAACAATGGGGAATGATCCCCTCTTAGCTCTGAGTCCCACTTCTCCCTGATTCTAGGAAAGTTGCTGTAACTTTCCTAGAATCACCTGATTCTTACTTTCCTAGAATTCTAACTTTAGAATCTTTAGAAAGATTCTAACTTTCCTAGAATCACCTGACCCCACCTCTCTTTTCTGCCTGATGCAGGGGGCTGGACCCCATGATCTTCCAAGGTCCCTTCCAGCCCCTCAAATTCTGTGCAAATTTGAATGCTAATATTTCTTTGCCCTGTTTACTGTGGTCTACCTAGCCCCCTCCAGATATTCTATTCTAATATTATAAAAGCCTTAATCTGTCTTTCTGTGTGTCCATAACGCTTTATTCTTCGCACTCTGGCTGTTTCTGTCAGCCAACCATAGCATGAAGCGTCCTGACAGGATGTGGCGGTGTGGCGGATCACCGCTATGAAGGCAGGGACACAAGGGACGGAGCGGGGTGGGGGGCGAGGCCAGCACCCGCCCTGCTCCTTGGAGGCAGCGGCAACGGAGTGGACAGAACCCTGCCTTGCTCCCTGCAGGTGGCAACGATGGAGCGGAGGGGAGCGAGGCCACCAAAGCTGGCCTGCCCCCCCTCCCCACCCTCCCTGCTCCTTGGAGTGGTGGTGATGGTGGTGGTGGCGGCGCGGAGGGGGAGTGGGGTCGGAACACTGCATGGGGGGGCAAGACCACTGGTGCTGGCT